CTCTTCACTAGTGTAAGGCAAGAACTCAGTCATCTTGTGATCCTGGATCTGAATTTGGTGTTGGGTTTGAACACTCCAGTAGCCCATACCATCAGCATGTTGGGGCTGCATGGGACGTTTAACCAGGGGTTGGTCTGAATGCAGAGCTGGGGTCAAGTTTAATAGCACTATTTCCAAAGTCTGCACTGGCCTTCCTCACCTTCAGGCCAACAGCTTCAAGGTGATACATCAGCCTTGCTGATGCCCCACCTAGGGACTTGTCTTTTTATTTTCCCTTGTTCTTTTTCTTTCTTTCTCTCTCTCTCTCTCTTTTTTTTTTTGGCTAGGTTATTTGCCATACGCATGTGCACTCACTGTTTCTTTCTTTCTTAAGTTGTTTGTTGTTTTTTTTTTTGCCACAGTGTGTGTGTACTTGCCAGAGAGGGACAGAGACAGTGACAGGGAAAATGAGAAATCACCCCCCAGGGAGGATGACCGTGCCACAATCCCTTCTCCTATATTCTCCTCCTGGAATTTTTGGCACACATACACAAGTATCTGGAGTGATTTTCAAGCCCCAGGGTCCAGGGCTTGAACTGTGGTCGACCACGTGGGAGTTCAACACCTTAACTGTTATGCCACCTGCTGGCCCTGTGCTCACGGTTTCTTAATCACCACTAAATAATAACATGGGGAGAGTCTCCTATTTGGTTGCTCTGTCAATCAGGCCAGTATTTGAAGAGAAAGCATAATTTCTGATCACAAAAATCTTCTCATTTAGATTCTGAAAGTTTTGAATCAAAGGGGGTAAAAAGAGTATTTACAGATAACTGATCAATATAGAAAGCTAATCCTTTGTAGGAACCACTTAATAAGAGCACTCTATGTAATGATTATCACTAAGATGACTTGTTCCATCTGAAATAATATTATAAAGGAACATCTGGCTAACATAGTGATTTCGTTTTCTTAGAAATCAAGTATTTAGTATTAAGGTTAGTTGTGGACTTCTTTATTCAAGTTGGGAGCAACGTTCCAAAGATATTTCTTGTGTATTTTTCCAAAGTCAGTAAACCTAGGCTGAAAGTTCAAGATGATTTATTGTGAAAATTGTCATCTGAGGGACCAGCACGTGGCATAATGGCTATGTCGCTGGACTCCCATGTAGTAGACTGTGGTTGGCATCCCGGCCCCAGTGGCTTAAACTCACACTGGGTGCATGTGCGTGCATGCCCAAGATCCTGAGAGGAGAATGGAGGAGAAGGAATTGTGGCATGGCCATCCCCCCTGGGGGGGTGATTTCTTGCTTTCTGTTTCTCTGTCTCGCTCTCTTTCTGGCGAGCACATGTGGCCTATAGCAAAAACCTCCCCGCCCCCCAAAAAATTATCATCTGATAGCTTCCAATTATCTTTTAATTTTAATTGTACCTGAGGGAGTTTTTCAGTGTGTGTGTGGGGGGGAATGTAGATAGCTGTCACCATTATTGCTATTACTTTTGTTTTTTAAAAAACATGAACTACTTGATAAAAGACAGTATGTAATACTGAAATACTATCTTGATATAATCTAAACTATAAAATGCTCCTCATAGCTTTTTTTTTCCTCTTGTTTTGTTTTTGCTACAGGGTGCATGCACTTGCCAGGGAGAGAAAGAGGAAGAGAGAGTGAGAGAGTAAAAATCATCACCCAGAGGGGATGGCCGTGCCACAAATCCCTTTTCTTCCACTCTTCTTGGGATTTTGGGCATGCATACAAATGCACCTGGTGTGTTTTTCAGCCTGCCAGGTCCAGGACTCAAACTTTGGATTCGACCATGTGAGATTTAGCTGCCTTAACCTCCACATCACCTGCTGGCTCCCCTCATAGCTACTTTTGAGGTGTCTCACTTGCTACTAGTTTTATTCATTGCAAGTAATCATTTACTTCCTGAATACCTTCTCTGTTGGAACCCCATCTGTTGTCTACCCTATCTTACCTACCTTCTGTCTTCTTCCTTAGAAATGGAAAATCCAAAGATGTTCAGGTCAAGGATGTGATTCTGTTTTGTCAAGGCAAACTTGATCCTGAGTCACTGAAGGCTGCATAAATATTGGGTGTATCCTAGCACCTATGGGTTTTGCTCTTTTTACTAAATCTGAGTTTAACCCTCCTGTTTGGATTAATAGAGGCGTGATCAGTAAATCCTGGCAACAGGGAGTCAAGTGGTCTTCACAGAGAGTTGGACTTGAGATGATACCTGTATGTGACCTTCTGATCAGGAGCTATTGACTGGTGGTGTCGTGATACCCACTTATCAACACTTCTTGGGTGGCCTGTCATTTAGGGGTGAACTCAGTGCAGGCTTTGGGAACATCCTCCTCTTCGTCTCAGTTAAAGTCCTGAATACAGACTATTTACAGCAATAAAAGATACACTTTTGTTTATTGGAAGATTATAATCTTGCTATGAAGATTTGTGAGGATAGAAACATTCAGGGAAGAAATGCTAATATGTTGATTTGTGATATAAGGTTTATAAATTAGGAGTGGAGGAACTACCAAACATGGGTGTGGTCAGAACATAGGAAAGTTGGTCTAGAATACTTCTTGAGAAGACACTATGGCCACGGGTATACTTGCCTGCCAGCTGCCCCTCGAATATATGATCAGCCACCACGTTATGTGGATTCTGTCCCTATTCCTCCTTCCTACAACCTCCACTAGTGCTTACCTCCTCTGTGATCTGCTAGTGTTCCCCAGCTTTGTTGATGCATTCATTAAAAAAAAAAAAAATTGCCAGAGGGCACATGTGCTCACCAGAGAGAGACAGAAAGAGAGGGAGTAGGAGAAAGCACCTCCCATGAGGCATGGTCATGCCACAATCTCTTTTCCCCCATTAATCCATCCTGTTGGGATTTGGGGCACACACATACATGCTGTATTTTTTTTTTTTCTTTAGAGGTATTTTTTTTTTTTTTTGCTACAGGGTGTGCGCACTTGCTAGAAAGACAGGGGACAGAAAGCAAGAAATCACCCCCTGGGGGGAATGGCCATGCTGCAATCTCTTCCCTTCCATTCTCCTCTTGGGATTTTGAGTATGCACGTACACGTGCCTGGTGCAAGTTTCAAGCTGCCAGGTCCAGGACGTGAACTGCATGCAGTCATGTGGAAGTGCAGAGACATAACCATTACACAATCTGCTGGATGCTGCACGTTTTTCAAACTGCCAGACTGGGATTCCAACTGCACAGTCACCATGTGGGATCCAGCTCCCTTAACCACTAGGCCACAGGCAGCCCCTTCTCTGCATTCTGTATGCACACTTGCCCCTTTGGAATACATCTGGGCCTGATAATGTTTTGTTCTTTCACCAACAGCTTTGAAACACCATGTTTAGCAAGCCTGGTCTCAGTCCAGGTCTGCAGCCTCACCCTGTGCAACGGATGCCCCACCCACAGACTTGTCATTTATTTCCTTTGCTTTTTTTCATTTTTGCTGTGGGGCACATGTATTCACAGTTTCTTAATCATAAATCACTAAGAGCAGGGAGAGAGTCTTCTACTTGGTTGTTCTGTCAATCAGGAAAGTAACTGAGGAGTTTATTTTGTGGGGTCTTTTGGTGGGGTGCTTTGCTGAGCACTGACTCCAGGAAGTCCAGCCCCCTAGACACTCCTGCAGATGCTGGTTTATCCCCGCAAGTCTCTGCAGCTCATAGCCTTTGTTCCTTCGAGTAAATCTAAAATGCTTCCACATGTGTTCTGGATTTTATACTTGTCAAAGAGAGAACATAAAGCTGTTAATACCTCCAACATTTTTGACATTTACCAGCAAAAGTGTCTGTGGGCCTGCGATAGGCTTTTGGGAGACACTTAATAATACTATTAGAAAAACTAACTCTCAGCAGGTGGAGATGTAGGAAGTATTTTGTCTTTTTAGTCAGAGTTAAAAATGTATATATTAAATATTTCCTCAAAAAGATATTGTGGGGAGTGGCAGCAGATGGCATGGTGGTTAAGGTGCCCCCCCATGGCCAACTATGGTTCAAGTCTTGGACTTGGTGGCTTCAAACTCACTCTAGGTGTGTGTGCATGTGTGCCTAAGATTCCGGGAGGAGAATGGAGAAGAAGTGATTGTGGTGTGGTCATCCCTCTTGGAGGATTCTCTCTTTCTTTCTTTCTTTCTCTCTTTCTTTCTTTTTTTTTTTTTTGAGAGGTTTTTGCTATAGGGCACGTATGCTCACCAGAAAGACAGAGAGAGACAGATAGAAAGTGAGAAATCACCCCAAAGTGGGGATGGCCATGCCGCAATCCCTTCTCCTCCATTCTCCTCTTGGGATCTTGGGCATGCACGCACACGCGCCCGGCGTGAGTTTAAGCCACTGGGTCTGGGACCCGAACCACGGTTGGCTACATGGGAGTTCAGCGACATAGCCATTATGCCAACCGCTAGTCCCATATTTCTTACTTTCTGTCTCTCTCCAGTAAGCACATGTGCCCTATGAAAAAAACTTTTTAAAAATGTTAAAAAAAAAAAAAAAAAAAAAGGTCAGCCAGCTGGTGTGGACGACTTTGCAGTTTGAATCCCAGACCTGGAGGCTTGAGGACTTGCTGGGTATGTGTGTGTGTGTGTGCAGGAAGAATCTGGTAACAAAGGTTCCCCTCCACCACCCAAGTTGTGCCAGCCTAGGGCTGTATGATTTGGAATAAATAAGTTACCTAGTTCTCTTATCAGTTTCCTTATCTACAGACGTGGAGATCACTCATTTTATATGCTTTGCACTGCCCACCTGAACTACTGCAGTAGGCTGGTATCCTGCCAGGAAATATTAAAAGAGTTTTCAGAGACAGACTCCAATACACTTGGGTGACAGGAACTCAGGTTATGAGCCAGTATTGCCTTCACTCCTTGCTGCTGGGCCTCTTCCTTGCTTTGCAGAAGGGCCATGTTCAAGGGCAGGAAGAGAAAAAGGAGCCAGAAAATGGGAACAAAGAGACAAAAAAACAAAACAAAACAAAACAAAAAACCTCTTGAAGTATAGGGTCATGGATGGCAATGAGACCCTCAAGACTGCAGAGGAGTCCCTGACAATGTTACCTGGGAAACAGCAACCTGGTGGGCCAGGAGAGCAGTGGTCATGGCATGAAAACACACACTGCGAAGGCTGGGAAGAGATGAGGCAGGGCTGGACACTCCTGGAGAAATGGGACTGTAAGAAAAGAAGAATGACAAGTTGAGGGGGCAACAGGATTAAGACTCCCCCACTCCAGTCAGAAGAGACTTATATTTGTTTGAGAGCAGAAGAAAGTAGTCTTTGCAAAGGAAGAGTTTGGGACAGGCAGTGAGAGATTGCAGGCACTTAGGGAAGAATAATAATAAGGCTTCAAAGAGCAACTGATAGTTGCTCAGTTTACACAGGCTAATAAACATTGATATATCATGTGGTTTGGGGGATAAGTGTGTAGTCTCTGAGTTCTGTGTGATTTGGGGGCAAATTATTGAAGTTCCATTAGGTCTCATTTTCCTCATATGAAAATAAGGAACATAATAATACCTATCTTTAAAATAATAACTCCTCTTCATCCACAAGCAGTTCAATGGAAATCAAGGAAATGTCTGATAAAGAATTTAGAAAATTCATAATGGCAAAGCTAACAGAGATGGAAGAGAAGAGAGACAATGAACTGCTAAAGAGAAAAGAGAAATAAGTTGAGGAGCTCCAGGAGGTGAGGAAATTCTTGCAAGATCTAAAAGAGGAATTACACACTTTTAAAAAGAATCAAACCAAACTATTAGAGATGAAGTCTATAATACAGGAAGTCAAAATCTCTCATGAATGTATTAAAAGCAGACTAGATCACACAGAAAATAGAATTTCAGACATAGAAGAGAAAATTGCTGGCCTAGAAAAATCCATGAAGACTGAGAAAACGACCCAAAAAATTGAGAATAATATATGAGAAGTACTAGATACCATCAAATGTCCAAACATCCAGATAATTGGCATTCCAGAAGGCCAGAAGGTGAAGAGACCCATAGGGCATTGATAATCTATTCCATGAAATCCTGCAAGAAAATTTTCCAAACCTAGAGAGGCATTCAAAGATCCAGTCCCAAGAAATACAAAGGACCCCAAATAGAATCAACCCAAGAAGATCTTCTCCAAGACAGATTATAGTCAGGTTGACCAAAACCATAGACAAAGACAAGATACTAAGATTGGCGAGAGAAAAACATCAAGTTACCTACAAAGGACACACCATCAGGCTAACAGCAGAACTCTCATTGGAAAGAATGCAAGAGAGGAAAGAATGGGAAAATATATTCAAAGTGTTAAGAGAAAAGCAATTTTCTGATTTATTAAAGTTAAATCTGTAAAATATACATAATTAATGACCATAATAAACTATATAGCATCAGCTAGGTGCTACCTTATAGTATATTCATTCTAGTCAGAGTTTCATGCTTTAAGTCAGACATATATTCATAGATATGTATATACCACCGGAGCTTGCTATTGAAAGTAGTTAGATTATTTAAGAAAGTTTGTGAATCAATAAAATATAGGGGAAAAAAAGTAATGGAAAAAAACTGTGGACACCTGAGATAGTGAGGAGGAGGGTGGGAAATGGCAGAGGGTGAGAAGTCTAGGGGGGATGAAACTAGAAATGAAAAATTATTGATGATAGCGTGCATGATGAAGCCTCTATGCAGTATATTCTGGATGGGAAACCACATTGTGTATGCTGTGACAATGCTTAGGGGATGAATGCAAATTAAGTTAAAAAAAGTTTCAGAAAAATATCTATTCGATGACTGCAGTAAGATATATAGCCCCAGCTAGGTGCTACTTTATAGGATGCCTAAAATTAGACTTGTGTTCATGGAAATGTATATATCACCTGTGTTTGTTATGAAAATATTTAGATTAATTAAGATCTTTAGTAATTCAATAAAATGTGGGGGGAAAACAGTATATAAAGCAAACATAGATACAAGAGACAGTGTGGGAAGAGAGTGGGAGATGGCAGAGGGTAAGAGATAGGGAATCAAGGATGGGGGAAAAAAGAAAACACAGGAAACAAGAAATGGAAAATGATTTGTTGACAATAACATGTATGTTGATGTGCTTGATTGAGACAATATACAGTGTACTCTGGATGGAAAATCTCATTTTGTATGCTGTAATGTTGTACAGTGAATGAATGTAAATAAATAAATTTTAAAAAGTAATACCTATCTTTGTGATGGGAATGTTTTCTTTATTTTTTTTCTTTAACTGCTAGAGGGCATGTACACACAGAGAGAAGAAAGAGTGAGAGACAGAGAAAGCACCCAACGGGGCAGGAGCCTGCCGCAATTCTCTTTCCTCCATTTCTCTAGCCCATCAAAGTTTTGGGCATGATGCACACATGCCTGGCATGTTTGGTAAGCAACTGGATGGCATTCAAGCCACAGTTGACTATGTGGGTTAAGCTTCCTTAACCAATGCACTACAGGGCTGGACTGAAAACTGAATATTAATGTATATGAAGCACATAACTAATGCATATGAACAGTTTCTGGCTCACAATGCATGCTCAAAATGTTAAATCTGGTCAAAAAAATAACAACTATCTTTGAGAACTAAACTGAAAACTCAAGGTCAAGCCTCATTATGCAGCAACATAAAATAAGAAGGTTAAGGTGATTAAACTAACCCATGGCATAATCTGAGGTTATACTTTTGAAGTAGAACTGGATTTCAACTTCTGTTTTATTTATTTATTTATTTATTTTTTAATTAATTAATTATTTTTGGAGAGGTTTTCGCTATAGTGTGCGTGCGCTCGCCAGACAGACAGAGAGAGACAGAGAGACAGAAAGCGAGAAATCACCCCCCAGGGGTGGGTCACGCCGCAATCCCTTCTCCTCCATTCTCCTCTCAGGATCTTAGGCATGCACGCACATGCGTCTGGCGTGTTTCAAGCCACCGGGTCCGGGCCATGAACCGCGGTTGACTACGTGGGAGTCCAGCGACATAGCCATTATGCTAACTGCTGGTTCCCTCAACTTCTGTTTGTATGTTTCTTTCTTATAAAAACCCAAACAAACAAGTAAGAAAAACTTATTTGAAAATTAAACAAAACTTCTGGTTAACCAAATCTTAACCACTTATCATATTAACTCTTTTGGAAACTATGAGTCAGAGTAATTTAATAAAGAGAGATAAAAGGTAACTGAGAAAGTCCTCCTCCCCCCTAGGGAGCACGGTCAAAGCACAATCCCTTCATCTCCATTCTCCTCCAGGGATTTTTGGGCACAAACATACATGCACGTGGCTTGTTTTTCAAGCTGCCTGGTCTAGGACTTGAACCATGCAGTCGGCCATGTGAGATCCTGCTAACCACTATGCTGACCCAGATTCATTTACTTTACTAATACATTAAATGTTATATAATGTTTCATGAGTTCATGTACTGACTATACATAGTAAAAAGTTCAAAAGTTGTTTTGGTGAATTTATGTTTGTAATTATAATACGAAGACACTAAATTTGCAGCAGCATTCCTCCTGATTTTAAGAAAAAATATTTGGGGCCAGCAGGTGGCGCAGTGGTTAAGGCACTGAACTCCCTCATGCCGACTGCGGTCTGAGTCCTGGATACTTGTGCATATGTGCCCAAAATCCCGTGAGGAGAATGGAGGAGGGATTGCAGCATGGCCATCTTCCACAAGGGGTGACTTCTTGTGTTCTTGTGTTCTGTCTCTCTTTGTTATGTGGGGTATGCACATGCCCTACAGCAAAAATCTCTCAAAAAAAATTTTTTTTTTTCTGATCCACCAGCATTCTGTTGCTATGCTTAAAAAAAAAAAAAAAAAAGGGCCAGCCTGTGGAGGGGTAGTTAAGGGGGCTGGGTCCCCACGGGCCCATTTCTCTGATTTATTAAAGTTAAATCTGTAAAATATACATAATTAATGACCATAATAAACTATATAGCATCAGCTAGGTGCTACCTTATAGTATATTCATTCTAGTCAGAGTTTCATGCTTTAAGTCAGACATATATTCATAGATATGTATATACCACCGGAGCTTGCTATTGAAAGTAGTTAGATTATTTAAGAAAGTTTGTGAATCAATAAAATATAGGGGAAAAAAAGTAATGGAAAAAAACTGTGGACACCTGAGATAGTGAGGAGGAGGGTGGGAAATGGCAGAGGGTGAGAAGTCTAGGGGGGATGAAACTAGAAATGAAAAATTATTGATGATAGCGTGCATGATGAAGCCTCTATGCAGTATATTCTGGATGGGAAACCACATTGTGTATGCTGTGACAATGCTTAGGGGATGAATGCAAATTAAGTTAAAAAAAGTTTCAGAAAAATATCTATTCGATGACTGCAGTAAGATATATAGCCCCAGCTAGGTGCTACTTTATAGGATGCCTAAAATTAGACTTGTGTTCATGGAAATGTATATATCACCTGTGTTTGTTATGAAAATATTTAGATTAATTAAGATCTTTAGTAATTCAATAAAATGTGGGGGGAAAACAGTATATAAAGCAAACATAGATACAAGAGACAGTGTGGGAAGAGAGTGGGAGATGGCAGAGGGTAAGAGATAGGGAATCAAGGATGGGGGAAAAAAGAAAACACAGGAAACAAGAAATGGAAAATGATTTGTTGACAATAACATGTATGTTGATGTGCTTGATTGAGACAACATACAGTGTACTCTGGATGGAAAATCTCATTTTGTATGCTGTAATGTTGTACAGTGAATGAATGTAAATAAATAAATTTTAAAAAGTAATACCTATCTTTGTGATGGGAATGTTTTCTTTATTTTTTTTCTTTAACTGCTAGAGGGCATGTACACACAGAGAGAAGAAAGAGTGAGAGACAGAGAAAGCACCCAACGGGGCAGGAGCCTGCCGCAATTCTCTTTCCTCCATTTCTCTAGCCCATCAAAGTTTTGGGCATGATGCACACATGCCTGGCATGTTTGGTAAGCAACTGGATGGCATTCAAGCCACAGTTGACTATGTGGGTTAAGCTTCCTTAACCAATGCACTACAGGGCTGGACTGAAAACTGAATATTAATGTATATGAAGCACATAACTAATGCATATGAACAGTTTCTGGCTCACAATGCATGCTCAAAATGTTAAATCTGGTCAAAAAAATAACAACTATCTTTGAGAACTAAACTGAAAACTCAAGGTCAAGCCTCATTATGCAGCAACATAAAATAAGAAGGTTAAGGTGATTAAACTAACCCATGGCATAATCTGAGGTTATACTTTTGAAGTAGAACTGGATTTCAACTTCTGTTTTATTTATTTATTTATTTATTTTTTAATTAATTAATTATTTTTGGAGAGGTTTTCGCTATAGTGTGCGTGCGCTCGCCAGACAGACAGAGAGAGACAGAGAGACAGAAAGCGAGAAATCACCCCCCAGGGGTGGGTCACGCCGCAATCCCTTCTCCTCCATTCTCCTCTCAGGATCTTAGGCATGCACGCACATGCGTCTGGCGTGTTTCAAGCCACCGGGTCCGGGCCATGAACCGCGGTTGACTACGTGGGAGTCCAGCGACATAGCCATTATGCTAACTGCTGGTTCCCTCAACTTCTGTTTGTATGTTTCTTTCTTATAAAAACCCAAACAAACAAGTAAGAAAAACTTATTTGAAAATTAAACAAAACTTCTGGTTAACCAAATCTTAACCACTTATCATATTAACTCTTTTGGAAACTATGAGTCAGAGTAATTTAATAAAGAGAGATAAAAGGTAACTGAGAAAGTCCTCCTCCCCCCTAGGGAGCACGGTCAAAGCACAATCCCTTCATCTCCATTCTCCTCCAGGGATTTTTGGGCACAAACATACATGCACGTGGCTTGTTTTTCAAGCTGCCTGGTCTAGGACTTGAACCATGCAGTCGGCCATGTGAGATCCTGCTAACCACTATGCTGACCCAGATTCATTTACTTTACTAATACATTAAATGTTATATAATGTTTCATGAGTTCATGTACTGACTATACATAGTAAAAAGTTCAAAAGTTGTTTTGGTGAATTTATGTTTGTAATTATAATACGAAGACACTAAATTTGCAGCAGCATTCCTCCTGATTTTAAGAAAAAATATTTGGGGCCAGCAGGTGGCGCAGTGGTTAAGGCACTGAACTCCCTCATGCCGACTGCGGTCTGAGTCCTGGATACTTGTGCATATGTGCCCAAAATCCCGTGAGGAGAATGGAGGAGGGATTGCAGCATGGCCATCTTCCACAAGGGGTGACTTCTTGTGTTCTTGTGTTCTGTCTCTCTTTGTTATGTGGGGTATGCACATGCCCTACAGCAAAAATCTCTCAAAAAAAATTTTTTTTTTTCTGATCCACCAGCATTCTGTTGCTATGCTTAAAAAAAAAAAAAAAAAAGGGCCAGCCTGTGGAGTGGTAGTTAAGGTGGCTGGATCCCACCTGGACACGGTGACAAGAACACTGTGTGGGAGTGCACACACACCCAAAATCCCAAAAGAAGGGAGAAATGAAGGAGAAGGGATTGTGGCATGACCATTTCCTATTAGGGATGTTTTCTCTCTCTTTCTCTGTTTCTTTCTGGTGAGTACACATGCCCCCTGGCACAGTATGAAGGAAAAAAAAAAAAGCAAACAAAAACAAACATATAGTCTGTCTCTGTGGTGTAGCAGTAATGCCCTGTTCAACAGAAGCTGGATCCCAATGGCAATCACAGTTCGAATTCCTGGCCAGGTCAACTTGAAACATGCCTGGCATGTGCGTGAGTTCCCAGTACCTTATGGGCTAGAGGACTGAAGAACACGGACTGAGGCATGATCATACTCTGTAGAGGGTGCTCCTCTCTCTCTCTTTCCCACTCTCACATGTGAGTACACACTCTAATAAAGGGGAAAAAGCAGAAAAAAATGTACTTAAAAAAAGGTTGAAGAGAAAAAATCAGGGTAGCTGGCCTCTTCCTCCCCTTAAAAAAATGCAATGCGGGTCAGCAGGTGGTGTAGCAGTTATGTTGCTGGACTCCCACACAGCCAACTGTGGTTCAAGTCCTGGACTTGGCAGCTTGAAACCCATGCCAGGAGCGTGAGCATGCATGCCCAAAATCCCAAGAAAAGAATGAAGAAGGGATTACAGCATGGCCATCCCCCCAATCCCCACCCCCAGGAATGATTTCTTGCTTTCTGTCTGTCTCTCCAGTGAATGCATGTGGCCTATAGCAAAAATCTGTCTAAAAAAAAAAAAAATGCGATGCATCTATGGGGGCTACCAGATTAGGAGAGCTCTGAGGGTGCCAACTCAGGGGTGAAGATGTAATTTCCTTATACCACTTGTCAAGTAAAAGTAAGAAGTCAGATCCTTACTCATCTCTGGGCATTAGCGAAAACTGCAATTTCATAGAAGACATGCTCCAACAAGGTCTTTGGCTTGGCATCTTACCGCAATATCCATATTTTCTCATTCCCAAAATGGGTCATGTAATTGACAACAGAAAGGGCAACTTAAGTGGGGACTGTCCTACAAAATCTGTAACTCACATCTGAAGGTCCAGAAACTCCTCCTCTCTTATTATTCATTTACAGTATGTACTAGTTTGAATATGCCCCCCATTAAAGTCATGTTTAGCCGGCCATTTTTGGGATTAAGAGGGTAAAAACTTAAACTGATTATGATGTGGAAAGTTGGGTTTTTGAGATGAGATTAGTGATTGAGTGGCTAGGGAGGGGCCATCATCACTGAGTTCTGGTGGGTTTAAAAGTATAGAAAATGAGACCAAAATCACAGAAGGGTCTTATGAATACAGACTGTGCTTTGTTCTGGTGTTAATTAGGATCTTCATCTGGATCTAGGAATCAAATTGACACACAGCAGATTAACAGGAGAAAAATGTACAGGTATAATTTTTACACATACATCGAGATCTTCACAAGAAGGTGAAGAGCCAAAGCAGAAAGCTTTTATCCTATTAGATTAAGAATGATACATTTGTGAAGAGATGACAAGGCAAAGGAGTTGGGATGCAGCAGTAAATTCTAGGGAAATCACTGGGAGGTATATAGAGGGGTGTAAAACTACTGGAAGATGAAGGTTATTTTTACTAAGTTTATCCCTACAGTCTATTGTCCTTCAATCTCCAGTCATTGGTGATAAGGTTATTTTTTCATCTTGATAGAAGGTGCTCATCTTCCTTGATACACGGAAGGTATCTTTCTCTAAGGATTTTTTACAGCTTGCTAGAGTAAGAAAGGGCAGTTCTGACAGTCCTTCCTGAAGCTACTGTTTCTCAAGTACTCTCAGCTCAAAATAATCAATATGGCAGACCCCATAGTTTGGACTGACATGCCCTTAACTTAGAAAAGGGTGACAAAAGCGCTCTCTTATTCTTGGTTTACATGAGATAGATGGTTAACTCATGAATAGCATCAGCACCTTGTTCCGTATAGTAAGAGAAGATTAGAGATTAGACATGTGAAGACCAGGGGTGTAGCTTGGAGGCTAAGAATATGGGATCAGCTTTCAGACACTCTGGGTCCAAATTTTGTCCTATTACTTTGCATGTGGGTACCCTCAGCAAGTTACATAGCCTATGGGTTATGTATTTACCAACCCCTAAAATAAGGTAAACAATATTTGTCTCATAAGGGTGTTGTAAGAATTTTAGGAGACACATGTAACACCGCCTTAGCAGTGTCTGATTCAGAGTAACCACTCGATAAATGATACCTATCATCATTAAAGCACTTTAAAGTTGACAAACATGCCACTTACCCTTTTATGGGATAAGCAAAAGGTGCAGGGGACTGGATCTATAAGGAGTGGTGCTGGAGAAAATTGCATTTAGCACAGTTGGCACCAGGAAAGGGAAGACATTTAGGGAACACTGGATAGTCAAAGGATTAGCCTGCCCCTGGCAGCAACAACGTGGGGCAGGCCAGCGCATACAACAGATACCCATGTCACGCCTCACTATGTCAGGCACCGTTCTCCACGTTTTAGGAGCATCACGTCGCTCAAAGACCTCACATCCTACTTTCGCAAAAGCAGCAGCATGCCCAAGGTCACGCAGCCGCCCAGGGATGGAGCTCAATCCAAACCCGCGAGTGGCGATCCATCGACTGCACCTCGTGCCCCTCTCGCCGGGAATACGGCAGGGTTAGCCGCCCCAGGCCTGCAGACTGGGGTCGCTGTCCGCATCCCGGCCGACCCAATCGGAACCGCTCCGGGACCCCACTCTCCGCCGCCCGCGGTCCGACGCGACCCCGCCTTCGGCCGGGAAGGTCCCTCTAGCCTGAGCGTCTCGAGCGAGGGGCGCGTGCACGGACGAGACCGTACCGCAGCGCACGCGCACACACACACGAGCACACGCTCGCCCGCCACCCAGGAGGAGACGGGAGGCATGGAAAGTTCTAGCCGGTTCGGGAGCCGAAGGTAGCAGGCGACGCGGCGGGGG